ATGTCAGTGAACACAACCGTTACATCCTTTACGGGATTTTTAGGTGCATTCCTGTTGTTACGGCTTTCGCCCTGGCAACAGCAATATATAGAGAGTATCACTGTAAGCACAATGGAAACGAAAACTGCGCCACCTACCCCATACACTATTCCGCCCCATCTGCTCAGCTCCATCCAAGCTTCTTCTTCTTCCAGCTCAAAGGCCAATATTGTGTACTCCATTGACGGCGTCACAGCGGAAAGCAGCTCAGGCATTTCGGGATCAAACACGCGGTCCAGCGTCCACACAGAGAGTGACGAGGCACCATAGTTCACACCACACGTTACGTCATCAACGTCTGTGCCACAATCCGCACCATCGTAGAAAGGGCCGTAGTGCATGTCGTCCACAGTCACCATGATATTGGTGTAGAAGAAATCAGCCAGATGCTTTGCACCAACCTTGTCCATTCGAGCAGCAACTGAGCGCATCAGCCTCACAGTAGCGAAGCCCCTCAGCGCAAGCGGAGTCCACTTCGTCCTGTCCTTCACGGCAGCGTGGAACTGCTGCACCGTCTCAGACGTCGTGCTCTCGTCTGCCCAGTGCGGCAGGCTCGTCGCGAACACAAGGCGCCCAGCAGCCGCACTCCCATTGAACGCAGCAACAAACTCATCGTAGAATAAGGAGACCTCCGTGAACAGCACAAACACACGCACACCGCNGCGACCACAGCGACATCGGCAGCAGCGAGGCCCACGACGAACACATCGCCATCGCGAGGCAGGTGGCTCTCCAGCGCGTCATCGACACCCAGCAGCGCGGACGAAAGCAGCGACCCGCCATACGTCACAAGGCAGCGCCGCAAGACGTTCACAACAGCAGCCGCCTCATCGCTGCGGATCACAGCGTGCGCCAGCGCACCGGTTGTGTTACCGAGGTACTGCGCAAGCACAAAGAGCTCCTGCTCCAGCGTCGGTGACAGGTGAATCACATGCCTCTGAAAGTGGTTCAGCCGCGGCTGANCACAAAGAGCTCCTGCTCCAGCGTCGGTGACAGGTGAATCACATGCCTCTGAAAGTGGTTCAGCCGCGGCTGAAGGAACACCGGATCAATGAAAGTGACCTCCGACTGCTCCAGCATCTTCTCCGTTACCATTCCCACCACAGCATCTGTCACTCTCTCTTCTATTTCCTGCTTGAGTGCCTCTGAAGCATCAGCTGCATTCGAACTCAGTAAGTGTAAAAAGACCTCGTGGGTGTTCTCCATTTTTTCGCGTGTCAACGCCGCCAAGGCACCCTCCAACAAGCTTGTCGTGGCATGCGGTGCCAATCCAACGGCGTTCATCTTCACGCAGACACCGTTGAGAGGCGAATGCACCCAGTACGAGGAGCCGTAACAGTCCATCACCCCAAAAGTTGCCCGCCCCTCAGGTATCGCCTCCACTCGAAAGTTCTCCACAAAGCGCTTCATGTAAACAGTCCGCCCACCTTGGTTACACTGGCACACAGCACCGTTAGACGCCGCAGCCCCCCTGCACACGCCACCGTAGTCGCCAATCACAAGGTCGTCAATTAAATAACGACGCTGATTGAACAAAGAACGGGAGAACAAACCCCTGCCTTTCAGCCACGCACGACTCCCTAGCGCACGCACAAGCACCTCCCCGGCGATCCACCCAGCAACCATCAGCTCACCATCATGATCATTTTTTGAGAAATGATTCTTGTCACTGTAGCCCGTATTAGTTGCCTTCGTCAGGTACTCCTTCATATCCTTCTGGAAGCGCTTCATCGCTTGAATGCGATTATTGTTGGCAAGCGGATTCGTTCCCGTTGTGATCACTTGGCCACGCACAGCAGCAGCCCCACGAGCAACAGCAGCACGCAAAGCACTTAGAAGTGTGGCTTGAACAGCAGAGGGGCCAAGCAGGTAGGCGGACGCAGTACGCTGGTCCGTCAGCATCTTTTCAACAAACTTCGCGGTGTCCCTCCCTGGCGCACCAAACACAATAACGGCCTGTGGGCGAGTATCGGCGAACGTCTCCCACGCAGCGCTGAACGCGGCATCTTCAGCAGAGCCAGCCACAGAGCTCTCCACAGTGAACACACCGCTCAGCGTGTAGCCCATGCGTGACAGAACCCTCACGGCGTGCGCGTATTCCATCTCACCGAACCCCACACCCCGCAGGTACATGAACCCTAGCCGCCGCACACGCAGCTGGGAGACGGAGTAGCGCAGAAGCGCCAGCAGCTCAGAGACAGGGTCGGGCCGCACAAAGTACAGGTGCGGGTTCCACCCACGCACCCGGCTCGACCAGGTGAACGGCGCAAACGCAACAAGGTTGTGCTCCTTGAGTGCTGGTAGAGCCGACACCGTCTCCTCATCACCAATCAGCCCCAACACAGCACGAAGGCCCGGATATTGTTTTGATTCGTGACGTATATGGTTGTCAATACTACCCTCAAATTTAGAAGCATTAATTATCCTCACACGCAACCCACTTGCCACCCTTGACGCAACAGAGCGGAGAGAGGCCCGGAATCCTGCGCTGAGTGCAAGGAGGTGAGCAGGGGCGTCTAGGCGACTCCATTCCCAAAATGAGAGCAGCTCCACGCTCACAGGAAGAGCAGCGTTCGCAACATCAGCCATCTCGGCTCCAATGTCTACCTCTCCAGTCTCAGTAGCGTCGGTGGAATCGTCAGATTCATCAATATCTTCATCCTCCGCCGCTGGGACAACGGGTTTCGATTTCTTTATCGTGGATTTAGCTCGTTGCTCCATTTCACGACCCGGCCCAGCACCAGACCCCTCTCGAGTGTCACTACCCGTTACGGTGGCTACACTCCGAGGCAACGCTTTTCGCGAGCTGTCTAATATTCCCCCAGCAGCCTGCCCAGCGCCAGAAGTCACCAAAGAGCCCACATTATTCTTTTCGCTCGTATTAACCTTGCCCTTGCCTTTGCCCTTCTTCTTCGACATATTACTCCCTCCATCTTTCCCACCTTCCTGGCCTCCTCCAGCAGCACCCTTCGCATTTATAGGACTATTACGAGCCTTTTGTTCTAGAACCGCAAGCTCCCCATTTTTGTTTGAATTCGTTCCTTTAGGTGGATCCCGCGAACCACGCGACTGCACACACTCAGGCGAGAGCAGCAGAAGCCACAGCGCGGCGGGCAGCAGCAGTGCGAGC